TGTAAGGTAAACAGTGATAATTTTAATTTAGCTCAAAGGGAATCATTTAAGATTTTAAAGGGAACTCCACCATTAATATGTAAGGGAATTAGGACAGAATCACTGTTTTACGGCTGATCACTGAGACGGCCAGCGATTCAGTGAACGAGCTGTATGACATCAATTCTGCAATGGATATCAATATCCAAAATATAGTGAAAACACTATTAATTAGCACTGTAACAAGATCGGCAGTTTAAGACATTAACTTGTGAGCACAAAACACAAGATACTTCTCTTTTCCATATAAATAAGGCTTTATTGGATAAATCTAAGACATATAAACTAATCTAACACACGCATTCACACACAAGTTGCAGAAAGAGAGAAAGTGAGGAAAATAATTAGTTTAAGAGAATGAAAATGTGAAATCCCAAGTTTACAGCAATATGTGCCATTGTATAGATCTGAACAACCATCAATCACTTAATTAACCCTTGCACTGAGTTCCTCAATGAGGTTAAAATTTAGATTAACTGCACCAGTTCAGTTTTTAGAATCTGGAGGTACTTGCTTTCTGTGTTGCGGGGTTCCCTTTCTTGTCTGGTTGCTGAAAGGGGTTTCCCGAGGTTGTTGATTGGCTGGAGGTTCAGTCTTGGGAAGCCAGTGGTTGGGCGTTGGCTGGCGACGCGGAGCTGTGGTCTGCAGTTGAAGTTTAGACAGCACTCTTCTGGGAGATGCGGCGTTAGGCTTAACTCAGAACACGAAACTCTCAACGGAAAATAAAATAAACTAAAGAAATAGAAATAGATGTAAAGTTTGATGAGACCAGGTGGCGTTTCTTCTCATGGTTTTGGAGGAGCTGGCGTGTAAGCCAGAGCACGCTCAAACTAAAGAAGCATGACTAGGAGTGAAAAGCTAAAAGCCGCATGGCTAAAAGCTAGACACAAAAAGTCAGACCCGCAAAAAGGCAAAAGGCAAAAGACCAAAAAGCGCTAAGTTTGATGGTGTCCTGAGTATTTAACCCAGGCTGTTTTACACACCCCCAAATGGTGTTTTGACCAATTAGATGTCGTGTTTGCCCGGGGCGTTGTATATTCCTCCTCCCCATTCATAAATCAACTGTTATCTCATCCTTCACATGATCTGCGTTTTTCCCGCTCTGG